ATTAACAAATACGGACTACAGAATCATTTGTACTGAGTATGTTAAGTTGTGCTGACGTATACGAACGTTTTTGTTATCATTTCATGTTTTTAAAATTCCCAATAGTTGTCTGAAATATTCATATTACATTAAACGCGGCCGTATTCAAAATCTTTTAACAAATGTATGTCAAGATTTGTGATGAGGCTCTAGAATTGCATAAATGCTAGTAGATATGGCCGTTTTTGTTGTCACTGCGAGCTTTCAAAAATACCTATAAAAATGACGGATCCCATATTTTTAAAATATAGTTACTACAATAAACACAACCTAATGTATAATCGATTGTTATGTGTATGATGTGTGATGAAGTTTATGCAAATTCGTAAGTGCTTCTTGATATGGTCTTTTTTTTTATGTTTGCAAGCTTTTAAAAATACCTATAGCTAAAGACGGATTTCTGTTATTTCAAATATTGTTATTAGATTAAAAAAGCTGAGTGCAGAATAATTTAGTATGAGTATGTTAGGGTTTATAGCGAGGTTTCTGAAAATCTATAAGTGCTTCTACATATTCATATAGCCCTTTTTTATATGATTGCGAGCTTTCAAATATGTCCATAGAAATTGATTGATTTCTGATGGCTCAAATATTGTTACTACTTTACAAACGGCCGTGTTCAAAATTCTTTAGTATGAGTATGTTGAGGTTTCTGAAAAATTTCAAGTACTCCTTCAAACAGCTGTTATTGGTCTAATTGCGAGGTTTCAAAAATGCTAACAGAAAATGACAATTATCAGATGTATTACGTATCTGCTTGTTTGTTAATTTCCGGTAGAATTTCTTTCCGAGGAACTTCAGCGATATAAGTCCCTTCTTGATTAAACCAGTTTATTCTTTCTCGATACAAACTTTTAGCAAACAGTAATTTCACAGTCAGTACGTTTCTCGTCACTTTAAACTTAACAACTTTTATAATACACGCTATAAATCACAGCGATTCACAATCTCGATAATTTCGCTCTCTACGAGTGCAAAACACACACTGGCTCGAAACAGAATAGTAATTTACCCGAAACTTACCGTGACTACTGTTCATTTTATCATACATCTTTCTTTT